TTTTCTTCTTCTCTCTCCACAAAGCTCACTCATAAACCCCTACCTCTTCCCAACAACCCTATCCATTGTCCAACAACCCCCACCCTTAACATCAACCCAATCCAAAACCCCCACCCCTCACGACCAGAGGCAAAATCAAGGGTAGGCTGGGGTGGGCCTTGGCCTCCCCTTTTAGTTATCCAATAAATGTTGCATTAAATTATGTTAGTTGTAACATAGATGAGTTGGTTTTGGGTGAGAATATAGAGATCTTTTTAATTTCTAGCTTTAAGTTCGAACCTTCTCCCTAATTTTTTTTTTGGTCTCATTCTTTTTTAATATTTCAATATACCCCATACTATTTTTATATGAGACCTATTAGTACATATATTACGCTTGGCCCCCCCTATAAAAAAAAATTTGGTTCCACCACTGCTCACGACCGCCCTCCATTTTCTACTTCTCTTTCCAAAAAAATATAGGAAATCAAGAGAAAATATCACTTTAGTAACATATAAATAAATATGTATCACAAAAAAGTTTCATAATATTCACATGTAGATTTTTTTCCCTACTAATATTTAATTATACATATTTAAGGTAAACTAGCGGAATAAGGTTGCGAGAAAGGGAGGGGGAGAATACAGGTGAGTCGGGTAAGGGAAGCGGAGGGGATGGCCAACGACAGCGTTGGGTGAAGGTGGCAGTGGTGGGGCTGGGGTGGTCGGGTGATTTAGTTTTTTTTTATACATTTTTTCTTTTTTTGCCCAATAAATAAGCAACACGTGGCTTTATGGCCCCACTTAATGGATTCTTGGACGGAATCAATTAAGCGGTGGTAAAATCACATTTGTTAAAAAATTTAGTGTTAAATTTTTTTTTTTAGGTGTTAAATACCATTTTGGATTTTTTTTTCTGGTGTTAAAATCCAAAATTTCTTATAAATTAGGACTATGTCAATTATTCTAGGACGAAAGGAGTATATATAATTGAATAATATACTCATGTAAGTTTGTTAAAATCGTATTGAATTTTACTCAAATTCTAAAACACGAAAACATGCGCTTTAGGTTTTTTTTTTTGGGGGTGGGGGGGGGGGTTTGGCACTTTGGTTCTTTGGGTCCAATTTGAGGTAAAAATTGACAAAATTGATCGAAATTGTTCGTTTTTCCTACTAAAAAGTACCACAATTTCTAAAAATTACACAAAACGAAAACTTGACTTATGAGGAAAGGCCCGTGAAGATTTTAGATAGTAAGGTGAGAAGCACCAGGAACAAGGATGTTAAGATAGTCAAGGTTTTATGGTCAAACCATAAAACTGAGGAAGCTACTTGGGAAGCCGAAACAGATATGAGGAAAAGATATCCAGAATTGTTTTCTGAGGTTAGTCGAGTTACGGGGGGGGTAACTCCTTTTAAGGGGGGGTAGAATGCGATAGAGTTTCGCGCTTTTGCCCTTTTTGGTTAGTTTTGAGTCATTTTGAGTTGCTAGTTGAGTCATTTCGAGTCATTATAAGTTGTGCATGAATCAATTTATTGGAATATTTAACCAACTTTTTCTCAAGTTTCGAGGTCGAAACTTCTTTTAAGGGGGTAGACTGTAATACCCCGTATTTTTAAATCGTTTAATAATTATTAAATATGGATTTTCCGATATATTTTATCATACAAAATATTTATATGATAATTTTATATCTATATTTTATGATGATTTTAATTATACGAGCCAAGTCAAAAATTTGTCGTACCCAAATCAAATTTTCAACCGTTAAATTGTACCCGATTCAAACGACAAAGTACAAAATTCGCTATTTATATACGAGTTCAACTCATATGTGTAGTACGCTAGTACTACACAAAAATATCTACTTCAATATATATATATATATATATATATATATTATATATATATAATATATATATATATATATATATATATATATATATATATAAACAATTTGATGTCAGCAAGGGGGGAGTAAATTACCCATTTGCTTCCTTCATTGAATGCCATGGTAGAAGTAGTACCAAGTATTACTATAAATAGCCATACATATATGGCTACTTCACTCCATCTTCTTCTCTAAAATCCTCTTCATACTTCTTCCTCCAACTAGCTTCTCCCCTCTACACCACCCTCCCATAGCCGTGCACCACCAGTCGGCGACCCTCCGCATCCACCCACGGCAGCCCGTCCTCTCCTTCCTCCTCTATTCTTCCTTCGTGCTCCTACTTCAAACAAAGACCAAGTGAGTCCTTGCTCCTTGCTGGTAATAATGAAAGTTCTTCATCTATATAGCCTAATACTTCATATCCTTATGCTTTTACTACTAACTATCATTACTATTGTTATTAGTGTTACTTACAACTATTACTAAAACTACTACTACTAGTACTCTTATTCCATGTACTACTATTACTACCTTTCCATTTATTATTATTATTATTATTATTATTATTATTATTATTATTATTATTGATGTTAGTATTGTAGTTGTTGCTGCTGAGTTGCTACTACTACAATTACTATTATCATACTACTACTTACCTACGTATCACTACTACTACTCTTATTATTATTAATAGTATAATTATTATTATTATTATTACGGATAGTTAAAGATTATTTTATAAATACAAGTGTTAATAAATTGGTCATGCACAATTAGTCAAAGTCGATAGTCTAAGTCCTTGTGTCTATGGGTTGAAAAGTATTTGATTAGGATTATTGATTTGTTATAGGAGGAATTTCGGGTTTGAAATTAGGAGTTTCGTACTTGTGTGCAAGGATCAAGGTACGTACACGTGGCTAGATCTTTTAAAAAGTGACTTTTATATGCAACGTGATTTGCATGTTAAGTGATTTCGAACCATGTTTAATGATTGTGAAATATTTCGGTGAAATATGTTTTCAATATTTGATCTCAAATGTTTAAATATTTTATATGGTTGATTAAAACTTGTACTGATATTCAAGATGTTTTAAAAAGGAAATTTTATTATTTATATCATCCCGAGTATGGGATATTGGAAAGTTTATTTAACAGGATTTATTTCTTGGATCTTTGGATTTTCAACTCCCACTATGCGGAGTAAGTTGAAGACTATGGACCTAGTCTTTCCCCTTGATAGCACTATGTAAAGGAGTTACTAGCTTGGGGGGTGTGCACACTTAGATGGGAAAATGATTTATGAGAATATGGACTGATCCATCCTATTCGGAATTATCTTTGGAAAGTTGGTTATTTCGGAAATTGGTTCTTCTGACAAGTTTTTATACATGAATTTCTATTCAGGAATGATTTGGATAAATTATGATTTATTAAAGTTAAATCTCTTCGAAAGCATGTTTAATTAATTAAATTGATTACATGTCTAGCATTTGTATGTACTTAGCATTTTGGCCAATACGTATTTGTTTTGTTTTGGCTTGGCCCTACTTATCATTTTGATAAGTAGATAGGTGATGGCGATCGGATAACGTGAACTATATGCTGCATTGGGAATGATGGGCGGTGATCACCTAGTTTGATTTAGTATACATAGTATTAGTGGTGTAGCTATTTTGAAAGTGTATCAAACTATTATTATTACTATTATTATTAATGAAAGTTAAGTACTATTTTCCGCTGCAAAACTCTGTTAAGCCTTACGTAATCACGTGGCGGTAATACTCCCATGTTACTCCCTAAAGTTGGATACTATTGTTAATATTAGAGAGTAATTTGGGGGTGTTACACTAAATCTCCAAAGAACATGTTTTAGGCACGGAAATCCAAGCCCTAGGTGGTAAAAAAAAAATCGGTTGTAAAATAAAAGTTTTAGAGGTTTTAATGGTAAAAAAAAATAATTTTGTGTTTTGTTTTTTTGTTGGTAAAAGTAAAAAAAAAAAAAAAATCCTAAATTTTTCTGCTAAGAGTTTAACATATTAACGATGAAAGTTAGAAAATTTTCACTTTTGCTACCAGCAAAACACATGCATTTCACTTTTTCTACCGGAAATTTTATTTTATTTTACTACCATGCAAAAATTGCTACCACTTAACACTTTCAGTTAATAATTCCGTTAGTGGGATCCAGCCACCCTCATTATCACCTTCCGGCTACCACTCCCTCCTAAGCCACCCTGGCTGCCTCCCCGTCAGCCACAAAAAAAAAAAAAAAAAAAAAAAAAAAAAAAAAAAAAAACTAATTTGTTTTTTTAAAAAAAATCTAGCCACTAAGAAACCACCTCAGCCTTTCCCGTTAGCCACCCAGTCCCATCCCCTTTACTGGCGGCCGACGCCAACGACCCATTCCCCCTCCCTTTCCTCCTCTGTCACGACCATCCCTTTTTTCCTCTCGATTACCCACGACATCTCTTCTCACCGCACCACCATTACTCACCTTCAGCATCTCGCAACACCACTAAAATGCGCCGTTATTGTTGCTGCTCCTCCCTCTGAACAAGTCGCCACCCCACTCCCTAGCACCAAAACAGACACCTTTGACCTTGAACCATCAGCCCGAATCCACCCTAAACAGGTTTTAGGGTTTCGATTATGGTGGTTTCGGGGTGGTGGTTTAGGGTTAGGGTTAGGTTGCGTAGGTGGAGGAAAGGGAGGGGGTCGGGAGTGGAGTCACCGGCGCCGAGCGACACTTTGGGCGCCGGCCTTCGGCAGGGGGTGGGTGGCTGGCAATTGAAGGTGGTGGTGGCTAGCTTTTTCTTTTTAAAAAAAATAAATTTTTGTTTTTATTTTTATTTTTTGAATTAACTTAACGGAACCTAACGGATTCCGTTAATTGTGGTAGCAATTTTAACAAAGTTGCTTTTATATGGTAGTAAAATTAAATAAATTTTTTTTCCCGGTAGCAAAAGTGAAATGCATGTGTTTTACTGGTAACAAAAGTGAAAATTTCCTTAAACTTATACATTGACAAGCATGAAAATCAGCATAGTGCCAGTAAAAGAAAAAAGGAAACCCTTTGTATAGCACCTCAAATAGCATAATTTAGTACCCTTAGGCCTTAGCACAACAATTATTGTTTCATTTGTTTTAGAAGGTTTAACTTTGACTATATGGTAATATGGTATGTTACGCATAAATTATATTAATTAACTAATAAATTTGTACACAAACTTGCTCTCAAAATTGATGCTTCAAATCAAAATGTAAAAAATAACATATACACCACAATTATTAACAATAATAACATCATACATTAAGCTTCAATCTCACTTGGGACTCTAGTTAGATAAAGAGATAATTTATTGAAGCTCATTTGTAGAACCCCTTCTAGCTTGATTTGTTCTTCTGATTCTGTGATCTTCAGAAACTAAAGTTATGTAACTTATGATTCCAAGGGCAATACCGCCAAATGACAATGCAGCTGCTGCACCAAATACTCCACGGTTTACCTTGAAGCAACTTCGGTAAAAACCACCAATATTTGATGAAGCATCACTGAACGATATACTCCCTCCGTTCTAAAATAAGTTTCGATCATTTAGAACAAGGCACATAAAATAAGTATGCATTCCATAATGTTCCCTTTCCAGTTACTAACATTATATTAGTTACAACTCATTTGTTTCAAAACTGGTAAATCAATGAATTTATATGTAATTTTATAAAGAAGGTTTGAATGTTTGATTTCAATGTCCAATTGTCCATGTAATTATACCTACCCCTAATTTTATGTAAATCACATATTTGCGAATAATCATAGATAAAATCACAAGTCATTAGGTTTGTATATATCCACTATTGCTTATCAAATGAATTGAAATGATGTTTTTTTTTTTAAATGTACGTGCAAACATATGCTTATATAATTAGAAACAGAGTGAATTAAGAACCTTAGAGATCCGTATTCCATAATGTGTGGCTCCAGCATAAAGGAATAAGATAATTGCTGGTATACATGTCAACCTGTGGTACAAATTTCTCAATTCAGTAACAGAAATTATAGTAATTGCTTTGCTTTCAAATTTCAATTTCACAGTCAACACATTACATGTAACACGTATTAGTCAAATTCATTAATCGAGGTACTTAGGGCATAATCTAATAGACTGAAATCAGCTAAACTGAACTGAAGTGAAGTGAGCTGAACTGGATTGAATATTTTATAAGAGAAGGAAATTAGGAACTGAACTGAACTGAGATGAACTGAACTGAAAATAAACGTATGAGAATAGACCCTTAATAATGGTAAAACATATGTTGTAAATAATTAATAACAAGATTGTTTAAAAGCTTGCAAGTTTTCTACTATCTCTGTTTCTGTTAAATAATACCCATTTTGTCAAAAAAAAAAAAAAATAATAATACCCATTTATTACAAATAATAAGAAACGTATGTAGTATAATGATATTTTTTTTGTATTTTTTTGTTTTTTTTTTTTTTGACGAGAATGATAATTTTTTTTCAAACATACGAAGTAGTAATTTTCTTTAAATTTTTATCGTTAATTTGTTAAAGAATGACTTCTATATTGGGAGTTGCCCTTTCAAACAATTAATAGGTGATTAGTAGGATATAAATTACTAAAATCAATCAATGTCGCATAAAATAAAAGGTTAATTGATGAGGTTTGTGAATAGCTAGAGTATATCTTTGAAACATGACTCCACTTTGTAAAACTTATTGTTACTACTTACTAGTACTCAAGTATTTCTGGTTACATTTTCTATCAACTTCCTATATACTTCCAGTATATGAATTAGAATTTAGAAATGCATACCAACAGCAGACAAAAGCAAGAATTGCTAATGCTCTTGAAGTAGAGGATGAATTAGTTGCTCTGCCACAACCACAATCAGCTGAAATGCTAATTAAGATTAGTGCCACTATTAGGCAAACTATTGCAGCAACGATCATATAAAACATTGGACTTCGAAAGTATAGGCATTCATGCACTACACATAAATCGTTTGTACATCTGAAGTAAAGCAGACGAATCTGGCCAAAAAAAATAAAAATGATACACGTATTAAGAAAAAGATTATTGTTAATTGCTCGTTATTGATAGATAAAATCCAATCTCGGGTATTTTCATTTCAAAGTACCCTAATTTAACTAGGATAACCCAAGTACATACCTGGTTCTTAAAAGGCAAGACCGCGAAAGTAAGACCCACGCCTGTTGATATCAACCCTAAAATTCCAACAATTATGCTAGCCACAACAGTTTTACCATTCATCCTTGATCCCTCTCTTTAGTTTCAAAGCAGGTTGCAATGGATCATAGGATATGTTTTAAGGTACATTTTATAATTTATTGAGAAAGATAGTTATGGTTCACAAGCCATTAACATTAAATATTAAAGACAGCTTATTAAACGTAATGTATTATTATTAATGCCAAAACGCAATTGTGAAATATTCTATGATTCTATCCATATACTAATAAGTTCTCCATTATACTACTTTGACTTTGTAATACTTTATTGTTTAAAATTTTCTAACACCATATAACACGGTAAGTAACATAGAAAAATAGCCATTTTAAATCATTTTTTGCATTATTGCCTGAACATCGTTTGACTAATTTGATTGAGAAATCTTAATTTTAAGAAAGGCTAAGGGTCTATTCTTATATGATTATTTTCAATTCAATTCAGTTCAGCTCTAATAAGTTCAGTTCAGTTCAACTCCTAATTTCCTTCTCTTATAAAATATTCAGTTCAATTCAACTCAACTCTAATAAGTTCAGTTCAATTCAGTTGAGTTCAGTTTAGTGAGAACAGGCCTAAGTTGATTATTTCTTGGTCTATCAACCAATTTGGAGAGAAATAGTAGGCTTTGTACAATTTGTACATACTCCCTACGTTCTCAAATAATTTTTTTTTTTTTTGAGGCATACAGAGTAAATATATTAAGCGGAAGAGTCCAAATCAGCAAGAGTTACAATGGCTTGGGGGAAGTTATCAAGCCTAACATACTCTACATTACCATATGTCTCAAATAATTCATGTTATGGAGAGATTTTTTTTTTTTTTTTTTTTTTTTAAAAATTACAAATACTGAAACCATGGGTTTTCAAGTTTTCAGCACTATCCAAGTGGCTTGCGGTAATCAAAATGGGTCAATCCATATCCGTCGTCACCAACTCACTTGGTATGCTCCTAATAGACTAAGATGAACACACAAAAAAAGTGGTCTTCAGCCTAAGAAATTTTAACATAACAGATTCCTGGCCTTCTCTACACTCTTTCAACCTCTTGGTTGGCAAACTCTCACATCTGCGGGTTCTTGCAACCCACTTTCAATAAGCCTACAGCAAGATCTTATCAAAGATGATTTGTTGCATCGTACGGAAAGATTACAGTTTGATTAGATTGGTATAATAAATTAAGACTTTACACTATAGTTTAGGTAAAGAGAAAAATGCATAGTCCGTGCATCAAAATTAAAAGGCATACGAGCATTCACAGTAACTATTGATACACCCAATAAGGTTCATTGTCTCATTTGTCTGTCATTGAAAGAACGATGAGCTCAATTCTGAAATGAGGTCACTGAAGCTTGAAATGGTGAAATAATAGACCTTCATAGATCAATTCGCTAATGAGCTAAAGTCACAAAGTAGCAACTAATATCACAAGGAGCTTAAGTAGGAGTGTAGGACCGAGCAGATTTTAAAAAATAAATAAATAAATTTGTAAACATAAAGATTGTGAAAAAAAAATCAGTAGTTGAGGTGAAACTGGTTTGACAATAAGGCAAACTGCTTAAGTGCTCAGTGTGCAGCATAGATGACATTATGGTTAGTGGGCATGGAAATCGGAAACAGAAAACTCTAGAAAAAAAGAGAGCCGCCATGGAATTATCAGAGAGGAAATTATGCAAGACAGCAATCAAGGTCTTCAGGCCAAATGTATCCAAAGGGCTAAAGGAGGTAGTCTATACGAGTTTTCTTGTTTCTTCACTATATGACAGTATATAATTGACATCAAATATACATTAACTGATACCAATCCTCAGAACAGTTGAAAGTTGATGATGCAGTAGTTAAACTCATAACTAAGGGGGGACAAAGATAAGGTTTAAGACATTAATCTTCCCACATAAAGTGAAACTTGCCTAAAGGAAAGCTAGGTAACCTACTTCCCTAGTCTTGAACAACTTACCACAATCTTTCTAGTATTTTTGTCAACCTATAAATTTTCACTTAAACAGCCAGGGGAACATAACTGTCAAAATTTTGTCCTGTTTTCTGCAGATTAATGGAAATTCCCTTCTCATTTTCTTCAAGATTTCAGAAGTATCAAGCATTGAAAACTCAAACAAATAGATAACAGATGATTCAGAGCTGTAGCTAATAACAAAAGGCAAGAACAAAGTTGATCTATTGGGAGGAGCATTGACAGGATGCAGCCATCCACCGTGTATCGTAAACTCCAACAAATAAATATCAGATTTGTAGCTAATAACAAAAGGCAAGAACAAAATTCATCTATTGGGAATAGCATTGACAGGATGCAGCCATCCACTGTGCAATGCGTACATGACAAAATGCAGGCACCAGCCATCATAAAATAAATCAAAATGATGGACTCGTTCTATACTGTTAATGACAGTTAGACAAGTTAAAGACCTTTTCTAAGTGGCAAATAAGTAGTAGTTGCAGTACTTGAAAGCAATAGAAGACACGTTTAATGCCTCTAACTACAGCATTTAACAAGTTGCCCATAATTTCAATCAGTAAACAGAAACCAAATTTAAATAGAGTATCAAACATGAGGAGACAATAATGCATTTCAAAAATCTCTAGTCCCAATAACTCAGCAAAATGAGGTCTTACCAAGGATATCTTGAAAGTCCACTCAATTATTGCCAGGAAACTCAACCTACAAGAGTACAAGTCCAAGTTCTGAAGGCTTTATTGGTTGCCTTAAGCGATAGTTGTACAGATAGTAATGAAGCTTTCCATCTCCCGGCCCAAATTTCAGCTCCTTGAGAAATGATTCATTCTCCATAACATCCAGGGCATTAAAAACATCATAGTCCTTCGACTTTGCAACGATAAGAGCATCATTCATCAACTGAAGCAGCGGGGTTTTTGTAGCCACGTTGTAGTAAGAGTAGGCAGCCTTCAGAGTTGAGTAATTTGGGTTGCCAAGAATAGTAGAAGGGAGAGTGTAAAAGCTGCAGAAATCAGTGATCTCATGAGTCAAGGGACTTTCAACAACATAACCATCAACTACATTTTCTTTGGGAAGAAGCCAATGCTCAACATCATCTTCATCAAAGTCAGTAGCCACAATGAACTGGCTCAAGTAACCCCTCAAAAGCCGGGTAACAGCAGGAACATCACGAAGCTCCATCTTCCTGAAACCAGGTGTAACTGTTGAATCGGGTAGCTTATAAAGCCTTATGGTACGGCTCATTGTCATTCTCGGGCCAAGCCTAGAGAATCCAACATCAATCAGCTTCTTAGGGTTAAGAGACCTATGCCAATATTGACAGGTTGCTATGGGTGTTGGAATAACAACACCAGCAGTATAAGCAGCTTGCCATATATTTTCCAGATGAACCCTTCTAGTCACCTCCTTGATCATAACAGGTGCAAGCCTTTTCGACCTCAGCCTCTTATGCACACACAGGAAGTTAACCTCAGCCATGGTAACAACTTCATCACGAACCCGTATCCTAGCTGGAACACCAGTAATAAAAGCAACCAGCTTCTTTGACTTCGTTGCTCGCACACCAATATGCCAGCTCTTAAAGTGACCAGGTGGTCGAAGAGCCCACTGAAGGAACTCCTTAGAATAGTTGAACCTAAACATGTTTTCATCATCCTCAACATAGTTGTTAGTCAAAAGGTTGTAGACCTGACTGCACATATCATCGGTTTCCAAATCACAAGTAATCCACTCATAATCCGCAGGCAACTTGTACGGCTCCTGCTTGACTTCAGACACTGCAGTAGGCTGCTCGATGGGTCCTTCGGGCAAGCTCGAATCTCCAATATCCTTGAATTGCCCAACAGGTTGTGTTTCCCAAAACTTGTGTCGGTTTTCGATAGCAAGGGACTCCTGAACCCTCCTAGTTATCGCCTCAATGCTATTTTCACCCGTCTTGCTTTCGGGGTTTTCATCAGGTTCTGGGTCTCTTTTCTCAGTCGTTGGTGAATTATTATCTCCCATAATGACCAAATTCCTATATAAAATTAAAATACCCAAATCTATGAATCAAAAAATAAAACCCCAATTTTCGGTCACTAACATAACAATCACTGAAAATATCAACACATTCAAATTCGCAATCAATCAATGACAACAAGATAGATAAATCGACAGATAATCAACAAAATAATCATCGACCTAGAAATGTTTATGATTCACTCTAGATTAATCAAGAGCAGGTAAATTTAATCGATTTATGGATGGATTCAATCCAATTCCAAAAAACCCTAGAATAGTTTCAGATCGAAATCAACATGGATAAATTACGGATTGAAATGAAACCCTAAAATGCGTAAGATAATAATAAAATTTAGCAAAGTAGTAAAATGGATTGAAGAGAGAGAATTACAAACCTCCGTCAATGGCAGGGGCAGATGATTGCAGCGGCGAGAGAGTGAAAAATAGAGTGAGATCGGTATCGTTGGTGACTTTATGATGAGAACGAGAATATTGAAGTGAACTATCCAAGTTTCTACTTTTACTTTTGTTGAGTACCGAATATCCACGCTTTTAGAGAAATTTGGAGTCTTCGACGTCCGATGTCTAAAAGTTTTGAAATTTTAGGGAATACATCTCGAGGTCATATAATGTCGTTTGAAACCATATATGATCATTATTTGTTGTCGTAAATATTCGTGGTAGCCTTGAGTTAATGAAATAGGTACAAGTAGTAAACCGGTAATTGGTCGTTTAAGCAAATTGGATGGTTTCACGCACTCAATTGGACTCCTGGGGGGTATTAGGGACCGTTAATAAACATTTCGGCAATTTTTATTTCCGTGCGAAAAAAAAAGTCAAAAAATTCCAAAATTGAAGGCTAATATCCATGTTTTTTTAGAAATTTCAAAGGTTTCGGGCCTGGTGTCGAAAAGAAATTAGATTTTAGGGGATACATCTCGGGATCATATAATGTCGTTTAGACCATAAATGATCATTATATGTTGTAATAAATGTTTGTGGTAGGCTTGAGTTAATGAAATCAGTGCAAGTTGTAAACCGATAAATTGGCCGTTTACAGGAAATTTGGATGGTTCCACCCACCCAATTGGACTTCCGGAGGGTATTTGGGACCATGGTAAACATTTTGGCAATTTTTATATCCGGGCAAACAAAGTAAAAAAAATTCCAAAATTGAAGGCTAACATCCATGCTTTTTGAAAAATTTTGAATGTTTCGGGGTCCGGTGTCAAAAAGCATTGAAATTTTAGGGGATACATCTCGGGGTCATATAATGCCATTTGGATACATATAGGATCATTATATGTTGTCATAAATGTTCGTGGTAAGCTTGAGTTAATGAAATCAGTGCAAGTTGTAAAGCGGTAAATTGGCCGTTTAAAGGCAAATTGGATGGTTCCACCAAGCCAATTGGACTCCCGAAAGGTATTAGGGACCATGGTAAATACTTCGGCAATTTTTATTTCCGGGTGAAAAAAAGTCAAAAAATTCCAAAATTAAAGGTAAATATCCACGTTTTTTGATAAATTTTGAAGGTTTTGGCTTCGCAAATGTGGGGTTTATGGATATGTACCAAAGATAAAAAAAAATTAAAACAAGAGCAAACTTTAATTTTACACTATAACCACTTAATACCTTAATATATATATATAAACTTGCAAATTTTTAGTTTATATTTTAAAAAAATTATTCACTCCTTGATAATTAAAAATATTGTTGATCAACATTATATGTTGATAAATATCGAATACTAATAGATGTTAGTCATGTTATTGCAAAGTCAATAGTATGGAGTTGATTTGTTTTAAGTATTGGATAGCACCGTAAATATGGGGTTTAAGGGCATGAATCAAATAAATGAGTTAACTTGGAATTAATTTGAAGGTAAACAATCTAGATATTCAACTGATTTCTGACTCAATCTAATTTAAAATCCTTTGAAATCCGTCATGGATCGAATTGATTCTAGTTAAACTATTTTGTTTCGTAATAATCGCAACACTAGAGTATGCACAAATTTATAGGAATTTAGAGAATTTAGAGTAGTGACCATTATTTTTTATTCGTCTGTTTTTTTAATGCATAAGTTTGACCGACACATTTGCCTAGATACAATTTTGAACATTAATATCTTTAATGAACTATTACTAAAAATTACTACCTCTGTTTTTTAAGCTGACACCGGTTGACTTTTTACATTATTCACATACTACACTTTGACTCGCTTTTGTGATTTATAGTTACTATAAAATATAGACATGTGAGATCTTGTTTGAATCATCTAGATGAATATTGTATTAATATCCACTTTTTATAATTTTACAATGTTGATAGTTAGAGATATTAAGCGTTAAAAATATGCGTTGGTAAGCGTGATAATAGAAAGGTGCCAATTAAAAAAACGGAGCTAGTATAACAAAACTATAATATGAAACTAGGCATTATAAGTAATCTAATGACATATTATATAATAACATTTATTTATTTTATAGAAGTGTAAAAAACAAGTCAATGAATAATGTAAAAGTCAAAGTGCTGCATTAAAAAAAAAAACCCGAAGAGAGTAGTTAGTATGAGTGAGAAAAAATAAAAAGTACTCCGTAGCGTATGTGAGAAAAGTGAATCATATCTAATAAAAAGAATGTTTCAGTTTTTATGAAACGAATGTAAAAGGAAAATATTGTGATTGTTGCGAAATAGTGGGAGTAGTTAATTTATCCAATAAAAACTTGTCTTAAATCGACCCTTTCTAATTTTATTGGTTCGCCCAAGTTCTACTCCTTGCATAATCCGTTCTAACTCCAATTATTAATATTTATTTATTTATTTGGTGCAATTCGAATCTACATCAATCAACAACTTTTAGTGTTATATTACCAATTCTCTTGCTACATGGGGGGTTGATCAATGTTCAATACCATTTTTTTTTATTTAATCAATTTGAATAAAATTATACTACATTATTAGATTTATAACCAGACAAGAACGGACCAATAACTAAAATCATACTTTGTGGTTCGTAGTTAGTTTTAGGTTTTCCTTAGCTCGAGATCGACTCAGCTCAATTAACACCCCTGCTTCGTCTTTTTATTATTTTTTTATTTCCGTAATTAGGAGGCCGTTTCCCTTAATTGCAAATTGCTTTTTTTATTTTTTTATTATTAGTGGGGTTTAGGGTTTTTCATTATTTGTAAAAACTTCAAAACATTGGGTCTCGCTCATACTCCAAACTAACCTGCCATTTTCGCTCATTCGTCGGAAAATTGCTATTGAACGTTGATCCGACTTCTGTTGATTTTCTTTGGTAAGTAAAGTAATCAGAAAATGTGAAATCCAAGCTTTGAATTTCCCAAACAAATACTATAATTTTAGAAATCGATTTTTAGGTCTTTTAACTTTAATTTTTGAATTTATGATTGTCGAAATCAATTTCAAGTTTCCAAAGATAATCTAATTGAATTTCAGCTAGTTTTGTTGAAAACTGGAAAATTTGAAGAATTAATGTTGCAGTTTCAATTTATTTGCACGCTGATTGCTAATTTTCGTTGAATTTTATCTTTTAAGAACTGCGGAAATTAGGTTAATTTCGGTTGAAAATTGGAAAAAATATTGCATTTTCAATTTCTTTGCATGCTAATTGCTAATTTCGGTTGAATTTTATGTTTAAGAACTGCGGAAATTAGGTTAATTTGTTGATGATTTGATTTTTTTTTTTTCAGACTCTGAGTTGATTATTTGAGACGAGCTAATGGAAGTTGATTCAAAGATGCATGATTCAGCTTCTGAAGATGCCTCGGCAACAACGTCTTCTTCAACGGAAAAGGTATAAATTTAACTGTGTTGTATGTGAAAAACTACAACTTTTAATTTTTGCAAATTTTGTAAAGAAGATGTTGATTGAAATGTAAATTGTAGGGCAAAGAAAATGATGAAATGATGCAGTCACTGGAGAAACTGCAGATTGATGAATCATCGTCGTCCGAATTCAAGAGAAAGCCTGTTGTTATTATTGTTGTTGGAATGGCAGGTCAGTAATCAGCTTACTTACATATTGAGGAACAATTAGTTATTTATCACAATTCATTTATGTTGCTTTTGCACGAACCGGGTTTAGTTATAAGATTTATAATCATATTTTAGGATGGATGTTAGTTTTGATTGATCTTAGTATGTTATTGTGTAATGCTTGCAATATGGTTGAGCTTAGTTTTGATTCGAATGTGATTAGGGAGTGGAAAGACGACATTTATGCGTCAACTGGTTCAACATACACATACTTCAAACCGTCGTGGTTATGTGATTAATCTCGATCCAGCTGTTATGACCCTCCCATTTGGGGCAAATATCGATATAAGAGACACTGTCAAGTACAAGGAAGTTATGAAGCAGTTCAACTTAGGTCCTAATGGAGGAATTTTAACTTCACTGAATCTGTTTGCTACCAAGTTTGATGAGGTAAAGCTCAAAAACACCAGTCTTGTAAAATTTATTAGATTTTGCTGTGATGTATTTTATTGTTAAGGATGACAAACTTGAAGAACAAGAATTATGATATGCATCTTCTATTGATATTGTGATATATACTCTTGTTGTTAACATCATTCTAAAAAGTGACTATGATACTTCCTCCGTTCTGTTAATATTGCAACAAGGAGGAAATTACGCATCCCAAAACACATTTTATATGCTAATCTATAATTGTGCAAGAGTAAAAATTATAAAAACATGATATTGTGAAAGTATTTTATGAGACGAATCCAACAAGATCTCACTTTACTATATTTTGCTTAACGTATAACTCATATTATATGGTCAAACAAGAGTGATGAATAGTGCAAAAAGTCCATTGTTGCAATATTAATAGAACGGAGGAAGTATGTTGCTAGTTGAATTTTTACTTTTAATTAATTAAAAGCATAAAGGTTAAAGACAACTCGATATCATAGAGTCTTATTTTCTTCTGAAGAGGATTATGTGTGCCTTGCTCCTAACCTCGTAGGCTCGTAGTCATATAAAGCTTGCTGAAGACTATGAAACTTTATTTTATTTTTTTGAGGAAATGAAACCTTGTATTTTAACAGAAGGAACCTGTTGTTTGTGAAATTATTTGAATTGTAAGCTTCCTACTGTAGGCCCGCACCAATGATAATGATGAAGTTATTAAGAAGAAGCAAGTTATGAATAGGGTAAAAGAAGTTTAATAATTAAGAAAAAATTGATTATTCCTTTCATGCACATTTAAAATGGAATCCCTGACTTAGGAGTATTATTCTTGTAATTGGATTATCATGGACTAAATTGAAATATCTTATCAGCCTTCTCTATCCTCCTTGTTCATTTTGAAGTACTCCGTAGTACACAGTACATGTGTCTCAGATTAAGGAACAATTGCTAACAACCTCCTTTGTAAGGCTACATGCATGATGCATTCAATTCGTTTATCCTAATCTGAGCGAGAAGTTCTTTACTTAAGAGGCATTGTGGCAATGTAGGCAGTAAGCCTGATTGATGCGCAGGGCAGCCCAATGATAGGATCAAGTTATGAGGGTTCTTGTTGGACAACGTCAATATTAGGCCAAATGACAGCTTAACAATTTTGTCATGATGTTTTCCTATTTCATCTTCTCTCAAATCTCCCTTAACAGAAGATAATAATACTCGAGATGGTATATTGAAACCCAGTTCACTTGTCGAGTCTTTTTGCGTTATCACTTCTCTAGCTCTCTCTCTTCCCTATAGTGGCCCATAACCCACATGATCATACTTGTCCAGCCTGTTAACATGACTAATCAACTATTAGCCTGCTCCTATCCAACTAATAGCTAGCTAGGCTTTCTACTTTCTACCAATGTTGATGCTGAAGGTCTCTGGTCCTTACACTAGGAATTGCTTTTTAGAGCCTATTAAGAGTTTAAGACTACCTATCTCTTGCTGTCTTGCATTCATTTAAGCTTTTGATGATAAGGATTTATTTTAAAATCTTTAAATGCTACCTTTACAATTCTCCTCGAGGCCAATTGTTGAAATGTAAATACAATCACGAGCATACTTTTAAATGGATGTTACTCCATATCTTCAAAACCCAGTCAACCATAATATCCCCCCCCCCTCTTTTCCACGCACACACCCCACTTTACTCGTTTTCCATGCAAGACTGCTACATTACATAACGGTATTTTGTTGCCCCATATTTATATTTTAATATTTTGTCTTGTAGTGCATCCTAATGAAGGGTGTCTAATTCAATTTTCAGGTTATATCAGTTGTTGAGCGTAGAGCTGACCAGCTTGATTATGTGCTGGTGGACACACCTGGGCAGATTGAGATATTTACTTGGTCCGCCTCTGGAGCCATAATTACGGAAGCCTTTGCGTCTACTTTTCCTACTGTGATTGCTTATGTAGTTGATACCCCTCGCTCTTCAAACCCAACCACATTCATGAGTAATATGCTATACGCTTGTAGCATTCTTTACAAGACACGGCTGCCTCTCATATTGGCATTTAACAAGACTGATGTAGCTCAACACCAGTTTGCTTTGGAGGTAGGTTTTATTCAGGAGTTTTATAATTACCGATCTGTGAGAGTGTGAGACATTGACTTTTATGCATGCAACTTTCATGAACATTTTGTTTTGATCTTTTTCATAATATGCATCACATCCAAGAAAAATGCAACATTGATATGGATGGTGTGTTTCTGGAGAAAATTGTTATTGATCTGCTTAAAATGTCATCTTAATTAATCCTGTGGGATTGGGAGCTGAAGAGCATCTCATTGGATATTGGATTTTCTTACCTTTTTGCTTTCCTCTATTCATTGTTCTGACATGAATTGATTTTTTTGGAATTTTCCATTCATGTATCCTGCTTGCATTCAATACCTTGTCTTAAAGGGTACTTGGTATCTTGGTGTGAAACTTGAAGTCATATGGATTAACTTACAAAAAAAACCCGTGTCAATAGTCTTTTTAATTGCTGAACTTTTTTTTTTTAATCTGTTGGTTCCTTTTACGAACACCCATTTACCAGGTCTATCTCTTTTATTACTCCTCAATTATTGTTGGAAGGCCTAAAGTCCTAGGAAACTTGGGTATTAACTTGGGCATTTATTTGAAGCAGAGAGCTAATGGGTGCTTTCTCTTAATGTGTGTTAGGTTAGTAGCAAGAGGTCTGGGTGCCTTTTGTTTTTTGTTGTTATTTTTCTAAACTTTAAGTGAAAGATGGGTGTTTTTTTTTTTTTTTTTTTTTTTTTTTTTTTTTTTTTTTGGGATGGCACAAGAGGAGTAAAGCTTTACCTTCTGGCTGCTTGCATAACTTTTCCTAATAAAATGTGGATGAGATTTTTTTTTTGGGACTTGGAATCTATGTGGGATAGTGTTTTCCTCCTTCTTGTTGTCTTTTTCTTTAGAATTGCTTCCTGATCTAACTTTTATTGATGATATTCAGCACAATTTGCATGGCATGGTAAATTGGTAATCTTTGGCTTGAGCATTTTTTTTTCTTCATTTTTTTGTTTGGAAAATCGCTGGTCCTTCCAATGTTGAATTGATCCTTGTAGTTATGTGACATTGTATATTCTTAATCTAACAATATCTGATTAGAAGTTTCTAGTCAATAGTCTCGGTATTACACTATTTCTAATATAAATGTGGTATCTTTCAGAAAGATGAAGAAAACTTGTTCAACTTTTTACTTATCTAAAGTCTACTTTCAAAAAATCTTAAAAAAAAAAATTAAATTCTTGGGTATGCTTTTTGTCTGTCCTACAAATGTATAGTAACTCCATGTTCTCTCCCAGATTAATTGCTTTGAATTTCTTGGCTGATAAGCTTAGCTGAATACAGGCAGTATTATCATTTTTAGTCAAGGCTGCACTGCCGTTGGTGACCAGCAGTTTGAAATTGTTCTTATTATTCATTCCTACCTTTACAAACCTAGTTCTCAGTTAGTTTAGTCTCATTTTTCCTCAACCCCTTTTTTTTATAAATAGGAACAGCCTTCTGTATTCATGTGGTAAACTTGGGAAGAACAAAGAGAGATGACTAATTTGTTGAAGCCTGATAATTCGCCTCATGATAGTCATGAATGATTTTTTTTATTTTTTTTTATTTTTAATTTTTAATCTAGTAACAGCTTCTGTCATTAGGTATAATTTTGGTGATCAACTGTTAAGGCTTATTTACCAGAATGGGTATAATCTTTGGTGATTTCCTTATTTACTACTCCCTCTAGCCTTATTTTTTGCCCCATTTGACTTTACACGGTCTCCAAACGTATATATCTCCTTTTTTATACGCGTAAAAATTATAAAAATTTTTATATTAATAAAATATACAATGAGACATGTCTAATAAGATAGATTAACGAGTATTTATGGTCAAAGTTATAAAAGTTTGACCCGTATATTCACAATGGGGCAAAAAATAAGGGACAAAGGGAGTACCAATTACCATTATAGCATTAGTACACTTCTTCACACTGTTGGGACGACTTTGATTTGTGTTTTATGCTTTTCTTTTCGACGTTCTCTTTTCCCAATCTACTTGTTCCCTTTTCCCAATCTACTTGCTCCAATTTTCGTTTGGGTGCCCAAATTACTATCCCTCTCGCTCCATTTTTCTACTTGCAACTAAACAATGGAGCAAGTAAATTGGGGTGGAGGGGGTATAATCTAGCTTCTTCCAAATATTTTGAGACATGTTCTTGCAAATTAGCCATTCTTAGGTTATCATGGTGCTGTGCATTTACTCACGTGACTGTTTTCTGTAGTATTCAGCAATTATGACTGACTTGCATTATCATATATGTGATGATGTTTTTACGATCCTAGAATGCTATCTTCAATTTTGATCCTTGCTTTCTGTAAGTGAACTGATTAGGCTTTTTACTGCAGTGGATGGAAGATTTTGAGGTGTTTCATGCAGCCCTTGAGTCTGATGAGTCCTACACTTCGACCTTGACTCGAAGCCTATCTCTTGTACTTGATGAATTTTATAAAAATCTAAGATCAGCTGGAGTTTCTGCACTTACTGGTGCTGGGATGAATGAGTTCTTCAAGGCTGTTGATGATAGTGCTGAAGAATTCATGGAGACTTACAAGTAACATAAATGGACAATTTTCATCCTCTTATAGAAAACTTTTGACTGCATAAATGTATTAATTGTGATGTTTTTTTTATAGGGCTGATCTTGATAAGAGGAAGGCAGAGAAGCAACGGTTGGAGGAAGATAGGCGGCGAGAGAACATGGAGAAGCTTAGGAGCGATATGCAGAAGACTAAAGGAGAAACCGTGGTTTTGAGCACTGGTATGAAGGACAAAGAGTCTGGCAGCAAGAGCATGTTGGAGGAGGAGGAAGAAGACGAAGATGAATATGAGAGGTCTAGCGAGGAGGAAGAAGCTATGATAGATGATGAAGATGAAGACGAAGACGAAGAAACCGGGTTTTCTTTTTGACATAATCATGAGCCAGAAATCTCTTTTACCAAGGGGATGGGATCTGAGGGAGAGAGATGGTAGCTTTTCGGTCTTGCTGTGCCTATATGCTTTGCTCAAATACTCCTATACATTGTCTAATTTGTTGGGAATTGATTAATAGCCATGGTCTGTACATAAAGAATATCTGACACTGCTGGATTGCCGAAACTCTAATATCTCCATTATTTTGTAACTGAATGGAGTTATCGAATTGACTATTGGAACTTCACCTAGTTCTATATATCATCATGATGTTTTCTTATACAGTCTAACATGCAGTGTTTAAAAACCAGTACCATCTTTTATCAGTTACTTCCAGTTCTCGCTCGTGCTAGTTCGAACTTTTATAATCAAAATCAATTTTGATGCAAAATGACGAAGAATTTTTATGATAATCAATTCTTGATTACGTTTGCTTTATTATTCTGTCCAAATAACAAATACATCAATTTTTGCAGACATACATAAATTTGAGTTCACAAGATCACATAAATTGATAAAAACACATAATGACGTTTTACACATTTGTTGGCATTTGTGGTTTTGCTGTGGCAATACCAGACTCTTTTCCAACATTTGGAGCACTACCCTTCGGAATAATCCTCTTCTCGTTAGAAATCAATACCCCCGCCCCAATGAAGTAGCCGGACTTCGGAACGAGGCAGCCCTCGCCGAGAGTGTTGGTCGCATCTTCAAGGTACTTAGTGGTGTTGAGAATGGACGCATACATCAGCATTACAAATGCTCCAATGAAGACCAACCTGCATGCATGTTTTTAGTCTTCTTATGAAATCATAATTTTTATGAATTAACATTATATTTCGAGGTCAAGTAAATCAATCTAGTTAAATTCTTCCTATATGATTTTGTGTGATTTTAAAATATTACGGAGTAAATTTTATAACATTGTTTGTAATTAACATTTTGAAAAGTCAAACTAATGTTCTCTCCGATCTTTTTTGTTTTTTTTTTTAAAAAAAATTTGATTTTTTTTGGTTCACATAAAATTCTAAGCAGGAAGAACAAATATAGTCGTATCAATACTAATACATAAAAAAATTGATTTGAGATGATTTATTTATAAACGGAGGGAGTACGGCACGAATAATGATTAGTTAGTTACCAAGAGAAGATAAAGCAAATAAGAGCTGTTATGCCACTACAAGTTGAAGGACAAGGATTTCGTCTGCAACAAAAACAGCCAGTTGCACTACTTATAAGTATTTGCTGAATCAAAAGAATTATTGAAGCAACTATTCCCAGTGCCACCGATGGACTCGTTGGATAAAAACAAGCCCCATAATCTTGTGTAAATATTACTTGATCACCCTGCAATAATATTATTATATATACGAAATATATTAATATGGAGTACATATTACAAATAAAGTACGAGTTAAGTTTCAAATATTAAGTATGACCTATAAAATTCAGTCCATTGGTGTGAAAGTAAGAAGAAAAATGAAGTGAACATGTTTAATTTCATACCGACTTACTGAGTAATATTAAACGTTACTCAAAATTATATTATACGAGTGTCAAATTACCAATTAGATATTAAGATTATGACGTATACACTATTGAAGACGGGAACACATATTACCTTAACTTTGGTAGCCTCGGCAACAAAGCCCATAACAACTGCTATTAAACCAAGAACGCCAGCAATTACACATACTGCAATGTTCTTTCCTTCCATAACTTTCCTTCTTTTCTTTTAATCTTGCTCTTATGCTTTAATTGAGTAAGTTAAGAGAAAAGCTTAGGTTATACAACTATTTTTTATGTAAAGTAAGCTATATATAGCCAACAAATGTACTTGTACTGGCCTGGTATATAATATTTCTATAAAATCAGAACTTATTATAATGTTCAGTCAAGCCCTGCCTAGTTAAGCACTCCATACATACGACTATTGAATTGTCGATTGATTATGTGCTGCTTCACGTCTAGTAGACTATTATGTACGTAGCGATTAGACTATTATGTACGTAGCGATTATAATGAAACTGCTTGTGTGTATTATTATTATTCTTTTCGTTTCATATTGATTTTCGTAGTCATAGTAAGAACACAAAATTGAAGTTTAAGAATAAATAAGGTTATTAGAATAAATTTTTATGTAAATAAGGTTATTAGAATAAGTTTTTATTGTTGACACATTTATATTACTTACTATTGTAAATCTATACTCCGTAGTATATACAAACTTGTAAATACTCCGTACACTTTAAAATGGAATACAGAGATCGATAATGATATAGATTGAAAAAAGTGGGTGGAAATGTGAGAAACTAGACCTAGTTATTTAATGTGTCGAATCAGGATTAGTGTAGGTCAATAAAAGATCAGGTTTAAATTGACTATTGCTTTTTAAATAGTGAAAAAGGGTCAGGCTTAAGTGAGCTGCAATTCATCATTAAACGGGCAAGGAAAATTAAAAAGGATTAGGCAAAAAAAAAAAAAAAAAAAAGTAAAATTATACGAAACTTATGTAGTTTTCTTAACATAACTACTCCGTATATTCGTTTACAAAATCATTGAGCAATTATTTATTTATTTTAGCTCTTTATTATTAACCTTGTCCAATAATAACCCTTATTAAAGCAAATGTTCAATAAAAAATCCTAATTAATAAATTAATCATAACCCTATACTTATTAATTATTATGCTACCCTGTCCAATAATTAGATCAAGGGGTAATAACTGGACATATAAATTTGCTTAATAAGAAATTTGACTCACAACAATCATGATATGAACAATGTTCTAGAACACCCTAATAAAGAAAGTAGGGAAATAAAATAAATAAAAACGAAAGGAGTATAATTTTAGAACGTAAACTTATTAATAAATCTCAAAAAATACCTACAAAAGAAGATATTTGTCAGTTAACAATGATTTTGTGCTTGGTTCGAGAGTTGACAATGCATGTATTCTTCAATGCTTTTTAGTAACATGCAAATGTATTTTTATAATGACATATTTATATATACTTGTGTATATATATATATATATATATATATATATATATATAGCAATTTGATCAGTTCTATAGAATGAAAATAAGGTTATATAATTTTACAAGAACATAAAATAAGTAGCAATTTGCTCCATTTTAATTTTATCGTTGACGTCAACCAATAACCAGCTCATAGACCGTTGAATAAATAGAAAACTAAGCTGGAAATTTGCCATAACTGCGCTACTATACTTAATATGTATCTCCAACGTAAACGATCGATCAAATATGTTTGTGTATACGTATGTATCGTGATTTCGACAAATTAGAATATTATTTTGATCTTAATTGTTTCGTATTTACAGCTTTTGATTCATATTCTAGAAGTCGTATGACTATTTTATTGATGAATTATTATGTTTACTTACAAGTAAAAGTTCATATATACATGCCTAAAGCGTAAAGGTCAAGGTCTCCTCCTAACTTTAAGGGAAAATGATGTAAAAGGTACAACCTATTGTGTGTATTTCATTTTTCTAAAGTTTGTTTTCAAAGGCATATTAATTTTATTACTGGAATGTCAACAAATTGATTATATAATGATGGTGCACTTGAACATGAATATGAACCTGGAGGTCTCATGGACTCTAAGGATGACATTGACGCCATTGAGGTCAAGTATGTAAGTATAAAATACGTATATGTAACATTAGATTTATATGTCGGGTGGAAGGGGGGAGGGACAGATTAAATTACAACTATGGAAACCCTCGTAGGAATGAGTTTGACCACAAACAAGTTTTTTTTAGAGCCAGTTACTTGCGGAGTGCTTTTGTATAAAGGTGCCTGAAACCACTCATTGTTCTGCTCTTGTAGCCAATGATGCTATACAGGCTACCTCCCAATACTCCCAAAGTAATGCAATGGGAAGTATAAATGTTTATCTATTTCTTTGTTTATGGGCGTTAAATATTGTATGATGCTATACCTTTGTTTGAGCATTTGGCTTCCATGGTCGGTCTGACTTAATAACCTCCTTGGTTAATTTTTGGTTCAAAGGTGTTGCAAGTGAAGATCCAAGACTCCAAGAGAACCTAGAAAAAGCAGCAATAGTGGCAGGATAGAGTAGAAAAAAGTATGCGTCCAAGGAATTCTTTAAATGACACGGCTTTCCCTTCCTAGGGTGGTGGTTCCTACTAAGACATTGCATTCCAGCCTTCCAGAGCAACAACTATGATCTTCCAAAATAGGATAAGCTCATTCAGTGCTATGGGGACCAGCGGCAGCTACAATAATAACACCCTCGAGGTGGTCTACATGAGCGAGTTAAATGATCTGGACCAAAAGTTGGTGTATGGATTGACTGATTCTATCAAGCTGTACAGTGGTCTAAGCCCAGACCCTTCGCCCCCTTCTGTGGAACTGTCCCTGGCACAGAGGGTACTGGTTCATTGTAGCCTATATTCCCATCTTGGCCCGCTTTCTGATCTAGTCGATGGACTTCCTCTTCGTGATGGGCTTTGTGTTTGGTCCTGCCATCTTGTACCACCACTACAACACCAAAGGGAATCACACTGGATACAAGGTTGCATCTTGCATGTACGATTTATCTTGCATCTTGCATGTACGATTTACAGCTTTGGGCCCAACTCTAGCCTCTCCTGATCCCTGCCGAGATCTTCTTTCCCCACCTGAGTCCACTTGACAGTTGACATGGGATTTCCTCTGCAATAGGGAAAGCCTAAACCATCGTTGGGGCATCGGGGAACTTAGTCATGTCCACCAACGGCCAACCCAAATAAGACTGACACATGATACATAAAGAGGTTATGCCAAAATGCCAAAATGCCAAATTAAGGACATAATGTGTCACATAATAACATTAGATTTGAGTATTTGACTACCAATTTGCAATCAAACAGATAAGATGTACATTTGTATCCCGGCACTTACAATGGAGAAAATTGCCAAGGGTTGCTTTTACACAGTAATATAATATTCGCTCTCCAATATATATAACAAATGGATCACAATTACCAATTACATGGCAGTCTCATAAATACCAGAAGATATACAGAATGGGTGAACTAATTAATAAGGTTTCAGATTTGCCTTACTGAAGACCGTATACTAATAATGCTCCAACAGCACCAAGACCAGCAACTAGCCCTATGATGACACCGATAGGCGGTAAAGCACCACCTACTGCCTTACCTGTGTTCACATCATAGCGTGCAAACCTCTTCTTTGGTGCTATACACTGAGGACAAGCATAATCATCGGGCTACAAAACAGACAAAACAAAATAGTTGATCAGGCCAAGTTATTAAAGACCTGGAATCAAATGTAATGAAAATTAGATTGATAAGCTTGCCTGATCTTCAAACGGTTTTGATAATGTGTATATGAATCCACAGTCAAGGCATATGTGAGTCGCTTTGGCCTGAAAAGTTTAGCAGCATCTCAGTAAGTAAAAGTAATTCAAGTACAATGTGCTTAAAAAATCTATAAAATCATGAGTATTGTTGGATCAAAGCTTCCATGAATGCTTGCCTTTTGTGCCTCGGTTAGTTTTCGCCCAAAACGTGGAGGAGCAGGACGTTTCGGAAGTTTTTTCACATCAACATCAGCACCTCTGCATTAAAATGCTGAACATCAGGAGCAAAAAGAGAATACCAATACACTATATAAAGAGATTTTTATTTACTGTTAAGCTCCATAATTCCATATAGCTCTCAAATATTACTATTATCTGATTTCCCTCTACTTATATAGGAACTCCTTCCTAAGCAAACACAATTTTTTACTCAGTTACTCCATAAAGTGGGGTGTAGGAAAGAAATACACATGGAAATATTTGGGAATGGTTAGTAAACTAACTACATACCTTGAATATGAAAATATCGGAAATCATTCAGTGTGTTTTAAAAATCAGTTTTTCATCTACCTCCCAGATTTTGGAATTAAACCTGGATTTGTTCAGATGTCCTCCTATAAATCTATCTTGTAATTCTGCCTTTTTTTGGATTTTATCTAGCTCCTTTCTTTGCATCAAAATAAAAATTAAAAAAGATCTAAGCTTTCTTCTACCTTTCGATTTCTCAGTGTGTAACTTATACTGGTATAAGTGTCATTGTGTTAAACATCTACTCGATTCTGCCCTACCACCATAAGCTTTGTATTCAGTCTATTCAACACCTAGAGAATCCGCATTTACCTAATACCAATCAAATGATAAGCCTAAACAAGATGTTCGAAGAAGAAAACATAGAAGAACAACGAAACAAAGACTCATAATGTATCCACAAACTTGGCACATTTCTACCTTGGCACATAATTCTTAACCTATAAATTGAATATTCAACAACAATACAAAAACTCAATCCAAACAAAATCAATATAACGAGCATATAACAAGGGATACATACTATATTATACCTGCTGACAACAAAGTAAACAGAATCAGGCTTAGCCTGAATTGCAGTTTTAGTGAATCCAAGCTTATCAGCAGGCCAAAGTTCATCACCAAAAAAACTGCTAGTATAAATCACCTGATCACCTGATTTAAGCCCAGCTTTTGCAGCATTTCCTCCACCATCTACTGCCTACATCAACAATATAATTGTATATTTTCCATCAAAACACCCAAAATTTCAAACCCGGATTAAAAAAATTACAAAACAAACAATTAAAAGATGACTCCTTATAATACGATAAACATTAATAACACCAAACGACACGTAATTTTATTAAATAAGTGTAATGCATTAAGTTAGTCCTTAGGGCTACATATATCATAACCGAATAATTAGTTAAAATTGCGAATAATTGAGATAAAAGTATTACTAACAGTGATGACAACTCCACCACCAGGTTTCTGACCAAGAGTGAGGCCTAAGGGTTTATCAACTTCAACCTCGATTGACTTAGAAGCACCAGTTGTTCTTGCTTTGATCTCAAACCCTCTTTTAACACTGGGAGAATAGTTCATTCTTTCAGCTACAAGTGAACTGAAAATGACCCTTTTTGCATCTTGCAAAGAAAGCCCATGAAAATTGGTTTTCTGCACAAACCAAGAAATACCCAGTTAAAATTACATGAAATTGTAATAATTTGTGAATCAAATGATCAAAAAATTGCAAAATTAAACAAAACAAAAAAGGGAGCAAACCTGAGGAAGATGAAGGGGTGGGCATGGTTTAGGAGAGGAAGGGTGGGTTCTGGTGGATAAGGCGGCAGAGCAAGAGGAGGAAGCGCCTGACATTAGAGAGGATGCCATGTTTTGAGGTTGAAAGATCAGAAATTACAAGTGTACCTTTTAATGTTAGAAGATTGTGGATAGCAAAGTTTATGATGATGGTGGGAGGGAGTGTGGAGCAACTAGGAGAGCCACAAGCATAAAATGAGGGACGTATCAAGTGATATGTGAAGTCGAGTTAGGACCAACAACTGATTGGATTGGCCGGTAAAGAAGTTGTTTCATCTATTTTACGGTTTGTATTCTTTTAAAATTACGGGGCGCATTTGGTAATAGTAATAGTTTGGGATAAGAGCGTGGGAATTCAATAAAATATTAGCCCATCTATAGCACTGACAAGTAACCTTTGTAAAAATAATCAAGTAACCCTATGATATTGATGAAATAACGCCTTTAATAATGACAAAGTAAACTTTATAATGGTTGGTCACATGGTGTGGTCAACCATATATGTACGAGTAGTACTCTGTATAAGAATTTGGGTTCTTCATTAGTGATTGGAGTTATCTTTATTACACAGTAACATTTACTCCATATTTCAGTTTTTAATAATTATTTTTATTTCATACACGTTCATCAAACAACTACTTTAACAACTATCAAGAGTCTACGATTACCACTAATGAATATTATAATCTGTACTAGTTAACCGTACACAACTACTCTGTATCATTTTTTTTACTTCATACAATAATTAATTTACCGAACACATTCTAACCCTTTTGATGCTCTCGAGTGAACAAATTAACGATCAGATTAACCCTTAACCCCCAACACAATGAGCATCCTCCATTCATCATCCTTTCGACTTTTCTAGTCACCTTACTTTTCTTGTAACCCCCTCAAAAAAAAAAAAAAAAACAAAGTAAAAATTCGGACATCTCTCATTCTCACTGTAGCAGATTTCCAGTAGTAATCCCTCTTTTACTTCTCAGATCTAAATCGCCATTGTTGTACCTTCAACTTAGAGAGAGAAACTCAAACACCATTTTCTCTCTCCTCCATTTTCATCCACCTTCAAACTTCTTCAATTCAATCAAACAACAATCTCCACCATTTCCCCAATTCAATCGCAAAGATCCACAGTTCTAACACCTCTGAATTCCGCAATCAATGCTGTCGATTTTCTAGGGTTTATGCAATTCGATCGAAATCACAGTATAAGACGCTGAGTTTTCCGATCGATTGATCGATAATGGAGTCGCGACCTTCTGTTTCGGGAAGGTTTAATCTCGAAGCAGCAACAGCGAGTACTTCATCATCATCATCTTCACCATCAAGGGAGAATAGTATCTCAAGAACAAGCTCGAATTCTTCTCTTTCAAGTAAGGCGATTTTTGAGCATAATTTGTCTTCAATTCTTAATAATCCTCACTCTAGTGATGCTTCTTCTTGGCTTGGATGGTGGTCATCGCCGACATCGGTGATTTTGCCTGAATTTGCCCCAATTAATACTTCGAAACCTGGGTTAGATGCTAATAAATCTGATTTTCAACCGTATTTGAATTCGATCTCGGAGCATTATGCTCGATTCGAGGATATTCGTAATCATAGTAGTAAGGAGAATGTTGATATTGTTGAGAATATTGGAGGGCAGGGAGAAGCGTTAGTTGCTTGTTTGAGGGAAGTGCCTGCATTGTACTTTAAGGAGGATTTTGAGCTTGAGGATGGGGGGACTTTTCGGGCTGCTTGCCCGTTTTCGACGATGAATGAGAATTTAGTGCTGCAGGAGAGATTGTCCCAGTATCTGGATGTGGTGGAGATGCATTTGGTGAAGGAGATCTCGTTGCGGTCGAATTCGTTCTTTGAGGCTCAGCAGCAGCTGGGGGATTTGAATGTGAAGATTGTTGAAGGGTGTAAGAGGATTAGGGAATTGAAGGAGACCATCAGGTTGCTAGATGCTGATGTTGTTGGGTCGGCCAGGGAGATTCAAGAGTTTAGTTCAATGAGGGGTAACTTGTTAGAGCTTCAGCAGAAACTTAGGCTTATATTATATGTTGATCAAGCTCTTGGTGCTCTTAAGCTGGTAACTTCTTTGCTGATTTGTATAGCTACATGTTATTCTTTATGTGTATTTGCTTATCTTAACATTTGATTGGCTTCGCTTGAAATTTGATTAGGGGGCACAATTTCTCTGTTATATGAGTTGCAATGTATAGAATTTGATATTTTTGTACATTCTTTGAATGGTCTTGAGTAGTATAGGATGATACAGATTGTGCAATTTATACGAATACAATGCTGCTGTACGCATAACTTTGGTGAAATATTTCTAGGGTGATGATATTATTAATGTGGGATTTTCACAGTGTGTAGTGATTATAGGATGATACAGATTGTATTGCTGGAAACTGGGAAAGTTACAATCAATATCAGCCTTAGTTGTGGTTGCACTTTATTTTGGTACAGTAGCCTTTTGCAACTTTAGTAACAACGTATAGGTGGCTTTATGACATTGTAGTTGGTGATTTTGGGATCTCGGAAGTTATGAGTAGTCTACTCTTGCAGTGTTGCTTCTGGACATGGGTTATGACCCCCAGTGACTTCTGACAATGAGTGCAATATAATAGATCTTCTGTTTTGACTTTCTTTGGTTGAAAATATAGTTATTACTCCTTTAAGTTCTTCTGGGCGGTTGTTATCGTGCTTTCAGTAAGGTTTTGGACATTACTATGTGTCTAAGGCTTTATTATTATTATTTTTTTTTTATTTTTTTTTTACAATGTTTTGGTACAAAATGAAGTGTGGAGCCTCCATACTTATGCTGGAGTGTCAAGGATTAGGTACGAGTACATAGGGTGGTATGAAGGATTGAAGGGTCTAAGTAACAAAGTTATTTCCATTTCTTATTTCGGGAAGAGGGTGCCAGGTGAACCAAGGGTTAATCCATATAGATTAGAATGGTTACGCTACATCCATCTCCACCTGCAAAGGAACTCTTTTGCCCATCATAACCGTTCGGTTGAGTGGAAGCTGGACTGTAAAAACAACTGAGTAAGAATTTGGCTGTGAATTGGAGGTGGGGCAGAAAAAGGCAAAAAGATCATGCCCTCAAGCTATGTTATTTGTAAGGAAGTGCACTCTAGCTCAGACATTATTATGTTCTAAGGAAAATTGACGGAGGAACAAAGGAACCTGAAAAAAAAAAATGATCTGATATGTATTTCACTAGCTAAGTATTTTCACTAGCTAAGTATTCCACCTTTCTATTAGCTATTTCTTTGATAATCCTCTATAGATGTGCTTGAGGTAAAAGCAGGGAGGTAGTTTGGGGAGCTTTGTGCATTCTTAATGTGTAATAGCTCTGATTCCACAAGATTTATAATGTGTGACCCAAGTTTAGGTATTAAGAACTGTTTCTGTTCTTCATCATATCCAGAGAAACACTTTTTGCATTATGCATCAGTCCCACTGTTCTGTTGGATGGGAGTTCCTTGTTGAGGTTGTGGGAGCCGTCAATTTTGTTGGTGTTATTGTATTATTGGTCAAAATGAACAGAGTGCTTTATATCCACTTAATATCCTTTGTTAATACCCGGGTTTGTGGTTTTTAATACTGTCCCTAATTAATTCGTACAAAACACTGTTATGATTGATATTGTTGTTGCTGGTGTTCAATATTCAACTTCAGTATATCTGCATTCTTTTGCATCTGTAAATAACCATATATTTTATGTTTGTTCAGCTTGTTGCATCTGCCGATTGTGCTGGAGCATTGGACGTTGCTGATGATTTGCGGCAATTACTGGTATAAGCAAATCCTATGTGCTGGTTAATCTGCCATTTTTTTGTGTACATCATCTGAATTTCTTCCCAGTTTACCTTCTTCATTTTTTTCCGAGGTTGTACTTTTAATGATCATAAATGTTGATCATACATTGGGTAGTTGATTGAATGTATCAGACTAGATATCTGGGCCAACCTAAACCTAAATTCTTCTTTATAATATTAAAATTTGCTCAAACACTGATCATCAGCAGAAAAGGGATTGAGACAATCTAATATATAAAGCTCAAAGAAGTTAATATGGGTAGGAGGTTAGCCTTCTAGTCCCTTACAGTCCTATTTTCTGCTGGAGGGTGGCATTTGCAAATCTGTTTGCTTCTTGCTCCACTTTTGAATTGTTTTGTTGCTGTGAAAATTTTACGTTTAATGAGTTTTATCTTTGATATAGCAAACAAAGTGGAGTACTTGTGTAATATTTTAGTTTCTGATCATATATCTTTGTTGCTAGGATGGGGATGAGTTGACAGGTTTACATTGCTTTCGTCATTTGCGGGACCATGTTGCTGCATCAATGGACTCCATATACAGGTTGGTCTACTCAACATGGTACCAGTATATATCTTGGAAATTAAGCTTCATCTAATGTTGCATAGATTTCTTAAAAATAATATATAATTCTAAGTACATTTTCAAGTGGATTCAAGCCTTTGTTGGTCTATGGAGATAATCATTTCTATTGTTAACTTTTGGAGATTATGATGGATTAGCAATTTAGCTTGATGTTCTTGAACTATTATGGGATAGGATCCTATATACAATCTTTGTTAAACCTTTTTGTTCAACTATTATTTTTGCAACAAACTATGCAATTTTAAGTTGGAGTATATATAGTTGTTCCAATTGATAATTATGTCATGGCTGCTAGCTGTGGTCTATCTTTAACTCATTGAATTCATTCTTGTAGCATTCTTTCAGCAGAATTCATGCGTGCATCTTTGCATGATGCCGGGGATTTAGATGCTATAATTGTATCAACAGCAAAAGAAAGAGCTTCTGTACCCAGTAATGGAAGGCTTGATGATGTGAGTATGACATTGGTCTTCTGGTTTCTTCCTTCCTTACCCTTATTGTTAATTTTGAGGGATTTAGATTTGTGGATGACTTGTGTCTTTTGTGGGTGAGTCTTTTTGGAAACCAACTCATTACTAGCCTTGACTAGTAACATGTTGATATCCTAGACCCTGCCATTAACTTATTTGTGGCTATCCTTATTATCTTTTGGTAATTTTATCTTTGTAATCTTCCTCATTTTTACTTTAATTGCTGCTGGTCCTTAAAATTGGTATGAGGGTCAGTGGAATAGGGTTTTCATGGCTGACTAGCATGTAGCTGGAAACCTGATTCGAGTCTCCCTCTTTG